ACCGTTGACTTTAATTTTTGACTTATAATTAATGGAATTATGGGCTTAGTGTAAGGCCCGTATGGGGTTGGGCGCAATTTGGAAAATTGGGCCATTAGTGGACTTTGATAGATCTAGTAGTTTCTGGTATTTTGGGCTTGAGTTGTTAAGGGCCATCGGGATACAAAGTGTTTGGACTAGAAAGAATGGTTGGGCCTTAAGGCAGGGCCATGTAAGGAGTTTGGGCCCAATTTGGGAAATTGGACCATTGGTTCATTAGTGGGCCTTTGGGCCTTTCAGATTGTAGTTTGCGTCATGGGCTTGGTCAAGGCTAGGTTGGGGGTAAAATGGTCCTTTTACCCCAGGTATGGAGTTGTGGTTATGGATTGGAGCCCAATTGTTAATTGGATGTATTATTGATATTGCTAGTTCAGGAAGCCGTAAGGGCAACAGCTAGGGATTCTTTCAGTGAGCTTCTGTAGTGTGAGGTGAGTCTCCTCACTATATCCATGGGTCGAACGTACCAATGCCGGCCCATTATGTATTATGTGGTACGATAGTTGTTCTGTGATATGTGGTATACTAGTTGTCTCTGTGATACTTGCATGGAAGACCTCGGGGGGTGCTTGAGGCAGTTGGATATCAGACCATGGGGGTGCCCATGGCATTCCAGGCAAAGACCATGGGGAGAGCCCATGGCAGTTTGATTAGACCATATGGGGGTTCCCAAGGCACCAAATTAAGACCATGGAGGGTTTCCATGACATCCTTATATGCTTGTATGCATGACTTATGTGGACTTATGTGGTTTCATGTGTTGTATGGTATTTTGGGGAAACTCATTAAGCTTTGTGCTTACGATTTTCAGTTTATGTTTCAGGTACTCCAGTTTTCAAATGAAAAAGCTCAGGACGATTGCAGGGCACACACCACATGTTTTCCGCATTCTGTGAATTACTCGATTTGATAATGTTTTTGCTAACTCTTGGTTACCTTGGTTTCATGAGAAAGAAATGTATTAATGATTTATAAATCAAAAAGAAAAAATTTTATGTCATGATTTTTGGGGCATTACATGAGTCATTGAAACTTTATCTAAGGGTAGTTTAAATCAAAAGTGTTGTTTAAATCATAAGTGCAATACACGTTTTAATTATGCGATCTGCTCTCGAATGTCAATTTATCATTCGTTCTGTCCTGCCTTGTACATTTTTTCCTCTAATGAGTTCCGCTCATGGAAGCCCTACCCTTAGAATTGTTTTTCATGTGTCCTACGTGACAACATGTAGAACATTCTTTTCTTATAGGATGTTCACCTTGCGACGGAATACGATGTGTTTCTTATCCTACCGAGCTAACGTCTCTCCATTATAGGTGGACTGAAAATCAGCAAATCATTGGATCTCCTAATCAAATGGACTTGGGAAAGGTTTCACACACTCCTCATAAGTTTTCCTTAATGTCTCCATATAGTAAGCTTTTGAGGAAAACTCTGAACAATCTTCGTAGTTGTTCATTGTTATCACTTTTATGACATGACCACAAGGTATGTCATCTATTTTCCACTGCCTACATGTACATGTTCTTTGTTTAAAATCAACAATGCAGTAATGTGAGTAGAATTTTTAACTGTATATCTAGTTCTTGATATCGGGTACACCATCCAATTATTACAAGCAATTTTATTTACTCGTACAATCTCATCAGACCAAGGGGTGAGTGTTGTTCTTGCTTTCGCAACAAACAAAAACATTTGATACAAGTAAGAAAACTAACATTTGATATACTCATTAATATAAAAGATTAATACCTGCAAAATTGTACTTTTGAAAACTCCATTGTTGCATTGTTGCACAAAAAAACTCAATTATTGGCATCTTCCTTGCAAATCTTGACATTGAATTTATCGACTATGCACTATTTAACGTCATAAGAAAGTACCGATTCCCATGAAAATGTGCCCTTGCTATTTTTGTGGATTTATTCTTCATATGTATTCTCATACACCAATATTTTAGTTTCTTATTTTTTTCATACCATCATCAAAATCTTTAACAATATACGTTTTGCTCCCAAAACAATGAGTTTACTGTATCACTCTTTCTGAATTTAGATGCTATGTTGAAATACAAATGGATATCGCATATTCCATGAAAGGCATGAGGGAATAGATTTGAAATGGATGTCACTATTGATGGAGCCCTAACATATATGAATGTAAGGTCCTCCATATTGCCTATACATTTGTGTCATTTTTGGAAGGAACCATTACCATGTCTTTATACACTCACTTTTGCATATGCCATAAACATCCATCATTATTTGGTGCTTTCCGTCCATCGTCACCAAAAGCAACATCGTACCCTTGAATTCATCCTTCAGGTAGCGAGCATCTATTATAAGGATCGACCTACAAAAATTAGGGAAAGCTCGTACCTACAAAACATTTAAAATGCATTCAAAACTACTCATTAAGAATTATACTTAATATATTTATAAGAAATATTACTAATTAACGAGCAACCAAGCACGATATACAATAACTCATACTGATCATCTTCATATGTTTTAATATGAGCAACCGTTCCGCAATTATGTTTAACCAAGTTGTGCACATACGATAGGAGTTTGGTAAATGAATCTTCTTTGGTACCTCTTAACAATACGAACGCATATTGTTTTGCCCACCAAGCCTACTGGCATGAGATATTAATTGGAAATTTGGAATTCATATCCCTAACAATCCCATCCGCCCGGTAAAGTCTTTTATAATATCCGACCATAACCTCAACGATAAAATGGTTGAGCACTTTTTTGTTTGCTTGTCGATCAACCAACATGTGTGTTGGTCAACATTTTTTGTGACTTGGAAAAGACTAATAGATTTGATTGTCTTTTCTCTAATCAACCAAGAACATTTTTTTAACAAAACAAACCACTTCAAACCTTTCTTTAATCGATCTGCTAGTCTTATACTGCAAACCCTCTGCCATGTATCTTTTTCCAATATTGAGCTTAAGCTTCACTTTGCTATTGAAAATGTCTAGGAGCTTGATCTTTTGACTTGTGACTACGCTTTGTGATGGAATGTTGACAATATCATTGACGGGACAAGAAGGCAAGGGGGCATACCATGAAACATGGTATCTGAATATATAAGTTTCGGTTCATCATCCGATTCTTCTCCATCAGAAATTCTCTCTAAGTCAGATATATCTAACTTGTTACAGTCTACAAACTCCCTGTATCCTTGTATTTCACCATTATTAAAAAATATTTTTTTTTCCAGTTTCATTACTGACCCGATTAACCATGTCTTGTAGTTTGTGTTCAAAGTAATTATGTGCACACACATCATTAAGATATGTCTCAACATCATTATCACCAACATACTTATAATTCTGCGGTTCCACATACATAATCGGTTGTTGCATTAAGTTTATATTTTTAGCAACACTATGATATTGAGGTATACTTGGAGTTATAAAAGTATCTATTGGGTTGTCGCTTCCTTTTCCGTTGGATATGTTTGTCGTAGATGCTTTTTCTCTATTGGCGATTTCGTTAGCACCATCACCTTCTTCAACGACCACATACACAGACACAAAAATTTACCTTCAACCACATTGATTACGTTGATCAACTTTCTAATATCACGATCATAAACAATAGCACAATAATACAACTCCCGAGGATGTTGGTAAGAAAGACTAACTTTTGATTCATCTGAAATAACAATCTTATTTTTCACCAAATAAACAAATTCACTAAATGTGGTGGTCTCGTAAATTTCCATACCAAAATAAAACATTTTTGGCATATAACCCAATAGTCATACATATGATAGTTGAGAACCAACAAACTGCCATCTTCCGTCACTGATAAGCAAGACAAAATATTCAATGGAACTAATAGTATAATTTTTAAGAGAAAAAAGAAAGACACTTTTATTCTCCAAAAAATACATCTTTTATATATACTAGTAAAAATATGTATGATATAGTAGTCAAAACTAATATGCAATAATAATCAACTGCAACCAAAGAGTAGTCAACACAAAAAAATTGCCCAAACCGTAGGTAGGGGGGAATCGAAGATTTCGTGCCCTCACCTACAGTTCTGTTCTTCATGTTTATACTGACACCAAATTGTATTTATTTTGAGAGCATACGGCAGGTGATTAAATCGCCTATAGTTTTGTTGAATTTTCTTTTTATTAGTATATTGTAACCCAAAATAGTAGTCGTCTACAGTTTTAATAGCTATTTTTGACTAATTGCAAATATTTGACTGTTAAGTAAAAAAATGACTAGGTAATTTTACTAGTTTTGTCATTTTATCTTTGTATTATTGATTGTAATTAATAAAAACTCATAATCAGGCTCATCGAAACCTCAAAACTGATTATTGCAATCCAATAGCAATAATCATTTGCGTTTTCCGTATAAACTTCAAAAGCTGTTCTATCAATCTAAAATCACAATCTACCTTGCTTTAGTACCCCGAAACCAATCTAACAATCTGCAACATAGATCCAATTGCCAGAAAAGGAAAGAACAATTGCGACCTAACAAGATTACAAAATTCACACATGTCAAACTTTAACCAAGAAAGTTGACAACAAATCACAAAATCCAAAACTTAAACCAAGAAAGGTAAAACAAAATTCAACAAGAAAACATGATTAACATTCAAACTTTTTGTGTTCTATTTATTTGAGTTCCAAGATAAATGATACAAGTCCACCAATCAAAGCAAATTTGCTCTATCAAGTCAAGAATCCTACAATAATAATGCTACAACAAATTACATAAAGTTCTTGAATTCCTTTTAGTACAGATAAATAAACCGAAACAAAATCTTGTTCTTCGTGTCATCATCCGTCTTTCCCGTCTTCCGTTTCATATACCAACAAGATAATGTATTCGGATATTACAGATTTAACAAAACAATCATGTGAATAGCAAAACGAATAACAATTCAAGAACATGTTTACCACTTTCTTTCTTTCTTTTTTTCCATCAATGATCACTCTTCTTTCCAGATCCATAATAACTCACATACCATCGAACAAATTTCTTCAAACCCATTTGAAGATCCGTCGTTGGTTTATACCCAAATTCCCTTTGAGCTAAACTAATATTTGCATGAGTAAATGGGACATCACCATTTCTTGGCAACTTCATAACTCTTCTTTTTGCTTTCACTTTCAATAACTTCTCCAAAATAGAAACGAGATCTGAAACAGGAACAGGTGAAGTGTTCCCTAAGTTAAAAACTCTCAATTGTGCAGGACCTTTCTTCTTCCCACCACTTCCTGTACTCTTTTCAGCAGTATCTAAAGCACCTAAACAACCCTTTACGATATCATCAATGTATGTGAAATCACGAGCAACAGTTCCATGGTTGACAGATTCGAAAATGGGAATCGATTTTCCTTTCAAGATGTCTTTCGTGAAGAAGAAATAAGCCATATCTGGTCTTCCCCAAGGTCCATAAACAGTAAAGAATCGTAAACCAGTTAGAGAGAGGCCATAGATGTGGTTATAAGTATGTGCAATCTCTTCGCCGGCTTTTTTTGTGGCGGCGTAGAGGCTCGCCGGTTGATCGGTTCGATCTTTTTCTGAAAACGGTACTTTTGTGTTCAATCCGTAAACAGAACTAGATGATGCCCAAACAATTGCGGGTTGTGGGTTTGCGTTTTTACAGACTTCAAGAAGATTAACAAGTCCGGCGATGTTGCTATGGATGTAAGAGCTTGGGTTTTCCATGGCGTATCGAACGCCGGCTTGAGCAGCTAAATGCATGACATGAGTAAAAGGGATTACCTCGAAGAGTTTTTTGAGCAATGCGACGTCGTTAATGTCGCCTTCGACGATGTAAATCCCACTTCTTTCTAGTAAAGCTTGACGAGCTCTTTTCAGGGAAGGATCGTAATAGTCGTTGAAGTTATCAAGACCTAAAACACCGTCGCCACGGCGTTTCAAGGCGGCGCTGACATGGGTTCCGACGAATCCGGCTGCTCCGGTGACTAAAACGCAGAACCCAGTATTGGAACGGATCTTGGCGGATGAACGGACGCGTTTTTCCCAAATGGGTCCACCCCAAGAATTGGTTTTTAAAGATCTGCGAGAGAGATCTGATGGGATCGATCCGGCGGAGGAGTACGGTGATGATGACGGCGGTGATTTGAAGAAGAAAATGAAGATTAATCCCAAGAAAACGAAACTCCAAAATGTGAGCTTTGCTAGATACGAATAATGCCATCTGAATCTATGATTGTATTGGGATTTTTCCATCTTGAATTTGCCAGGCGTTGATGGGATATTATCAAGATGAGATGACTTCATAATTTCCAAGAAAATCTTGAAATGGAAAACACCAACTCTTTTTTCCTGATTCCAAACTGGGTTAGGTTTGATTTTCTTGGAATGTGGCCAGGGTATGAATAAATCTCAAATAATTTGTTTTGTTTCTTTGAAGGGTTTGAAGAATGATTCCAATCTTTTCAAGAAATTTGATGATTGGTGAACAAAAACAAAAACAAAAAAGGAAAGATGAAAAAAGGAATTGTTCTTGCTGTGTTGACGGTGTTGATGATGATGTTCTTCAATCTTCCCCCAAACTTTACTTTTTCCTTTTGATGATGGTGGAAATGGAATCTTGTGGTTTCTTGAAGGGATTGATTTGTTTGCTTTTGTGGGTTTTCTTGGGTATAAAGATTGATCGGAAAAGTAATTTGTGATTGGGGAGAGAAAAGAAGAGAGAGGTGGACTGAATGAAGATGGGGAAGAACGGATTTTGAAGGATTTTATTAAAATGATAATGGATATTATTGATATTCAAGGTGGTGTGGACTCATTACATATCACCAAAATCAAGAAAGCGAAAGAATAGTCAAAGGGTTAATATCTTGTTAAATTTTGTATGGAATTCCGGGAAAATTAGGGTTTCTCTAGTTTTCTATTTGTGAGTGTATATTCTTTATTCTATTTCTATTTTTATTTCTATCACTATTTCGCCCCTCATTTGGAAATGAATGGATAATGAAAATCAAGTTTAAGATGCATAATTGGGAGGTGTGATTTTAGGGGGGTTTGATTGGTGATTTTCATCTTGATGATTGCTTATTTGGGGATTTGCGGGGTGTGTATTGGGAGATGATATGGATGAGATTTTGTGGCAAATTATGAGGAGGGGTTCATAGTTTTTACACCATAGGTATGTATTAGATTTTATGGGTGGATTCGAAGCTTTGATTTTCAATCATTAATTAGCTGTTATTTTTTTCTTCAAAATTTACTTTGCATAAATGATTAGTAAATGTGAATCTGTTATAATGAAACGGGATTTTACGGATAAGGTATTTCAAAACAAGTCTATTAAAAAAAGGGTCAATTAATATATGTAAGAAATTAGAGATAAAGGAATACAAATTGCAAGATAAATAACTAACTAGGTAGTGGCGGGAAAGTTAATTGTTAACCGAAAAACTCACATTAACGGCGAAAAACTAGTTGTTACTTGAAAAACTAGCTAATAGCAAAAAACAATATTTTGTAAAACTAATTGATAAACTAACCATTTATTTATATATAAGACAAAATTATAAAAATGGCCCCTGTGGTATGCATTTTTTGGGGTTTTAGTCTAAACTCCGACTTTTTTGGTTTCGTGGTCCTTTTGACCATGTTTGCTAATGATTTTGGTCACTCGGAAAACTGAAAAGACTAAAATACCCTTTCTGATATATTTTTTATATTTTTTCTATTTAATTTAAAGGAAAAAGAAAATAGATAACTAATTTGGGCTCACATCTATATCTCTCTCTCTCTCTCTCTCTCTCTCTCTCTCTCTCTCTCTCTCTCTCTCTACACAAAGCCATCCAACATTCATATTCTCCATAATATTCACCTAATTGCAACCCTAAACATTAAATATGTTCATAAACTGAAAATGATAAATGCCCCGATCATCCCCTCTAATTGGAAAACCAATCAATCTCTACCAAACTTCCCTTTTGTGATCTCACGTTACCACCTTCACTTTAGCCATAACCTCCATTGACCATCATTATCCACCACTGCATCGCATCTACTCTGCCTCACATCCCCAATTATGCAGATCGATCTATCTTTGTGTGTACAACCCTAAGCCCTTAAATCTGCCGTATCAATATAGGTTTAACTTCACTACTTCAAGACGATGGACTGAAAGGAAAAAAGGAACGAATGAAGGGGAAAGAAAGAAGGAGACGGTGAGGTGGGTCTCAAGAACCTTCGTCGTCGATTGATTTTACAAGCATGTCAGCTTAATCTGCGTTTGATAAATCTCCACCCCTACATCGTTAAACACTTCTGCACCACATCGCCGTTTCCATCATCTGCAATCCAAATTGAAACAGAGAAACCATGGGTTCGTGTTGTGAAATCATCCGAATCCATTGTAATCGTTGTTGTAGAAGACGATGAACAATACATTGGAGCATGACCACAAAAAAACTAGCAAAAATTGGAGCATGATTTGGGGCTGCAACCAGGGGGATTGGTTGGAGAAGATGAATTGGGGGGGGGGGGGGAGGTATGGTTTGTTTCACCGTCACCAAAAAGTTGCATCTAGATCTAAAGTCCCTGCCAGATTTTTGCAGCCACTTCCTTTTCCTCGACCCATGATTTCTTTCCCTCTGTATCGATCGACCGATTTATCACTCGGTCTCTTTTCCTTATGTCGCCAAATCATCGTCAGATCTTCAGTCAACACCGGATGAAGATGATCTTGAGTTTTACTTTCTTTGATGCGTGTATGAGGGATAAGAGAGAGAGAGAGAGATAAGTGAGAGTGAGAGAGCGATAGAGATAAAACAATTAATGGTGGTGGTGGCGGATAGTGGTGGCTAACGGTGGTGGGTGGGTATGTCTTTGTGTGTTAAAGAAGAAAGGACAAGAGGGAACATATGATGGCGTACCGCTTTCGAGAGAGAGAGAGAGAGGTGGGCCAGGTTTTATATTTAATAATAATAATAATTTTAAAAAGTGAAAAGAAAAATGGAAACTAAATTCATTAAGGGTATAATAGTCTTTTTAGTTTGGACAGGGACCAAAACTGCATGTAAACTAGCTCAAAAGGACCATCAATCCAAAAAATTCAGGGTTTGGACTAAAACTCCAAAAAATACATACTACATGGACCATTTTTATAATTTTGTCTATATATAATAAGATCTAAAAGTTTCATTAAATATTATAAAACAACTATGTAACATATTTTATTAAATTAAAGTAACTAATGTAATAATAATTTTTTGATTATTTATGTTTAATTTAATGTTTTTTAGTCTCATATAATATTCATAATATTATTGCATATTTCTCACATTCCATGGTGTCGACCGTCACATGTTATTATAAGAGTAGATTATTCGAATCGTGTCTCTGCAAGTGTCAAAACTCATATCCAATTTAAATTTTTAAAAATTAACTTGCACCGTCTTTCGTTAGTTTAAAACTTACATGTTTCATCCCTCCGAACATAAAAATACCATTTTGCCCGTATTTAATTTTTTGGACTTATTTTCTAATTATTTGTTATTTATTAATTATTTACTGATTTGTTTATTATCAAAAATAATTATTATTTCCTTTTAAAAAAAGAAATGGGCAGCACGTTCATAACGCATCCCTCTCCCTCCGGCAACTCTCCAAGACATCTCTGACAACCGCCATCGTCTCCCTCTTTCTCACCCACTACCCAATTCCTTTTACCTTCATCTCCCTTTATCTCACTATAACATCCCAAAAATCGGGTCCAAAAATTTCTTTTAAAAACATTACTAATTCATAGCGTTGAGTCATTCAAACATACTAAAAGGGTTTATATGACAAATCATAGTTTCATTTCCAAAACACTTGTTTAATTATCAGAGTAACCATCCCGGGCTAACTTGTCATGGTGTGTGCACTGCAATCCTCCCGAGCTCCTCTTCTGACAACTGAATACCTGAAACCAAAACTGAAAACCGTAAGCACGAAGCTTAGTGAGTTCCCCAACCTACCGCATGCCATATATATCTACTGATCCATACATGCCATACATAATACTGAGCACATAACCACATACTGGGCACCCGCCCACTGCATTGGGCCTCGTCCGCTATCGGACCCCGTCCGCCACCAGGCCCCGCCTGGCTTCGAGTCCCGCTCGGCGTACATATCTGTTTTCCTTAGGCCCCGCCTGTTTCCGGGCCCCGCCCGCTAACATATACTAGCATACAATCATATCACAACACATAACTAACGTACTCTACTGGATTACTGTGCTAAGGCCTCGCCTATCTTGGGCCTCGCCCCTGTCCTGCTACTGATGAATCATGGAACCTCGTCCACGCTCCAACTGTCACACCCCCAAACCAAGGATGGCGGAAATGTCCGGGGGTGGAGGACTTCATGTATAGTATCATAACAACAATTGTAATAGTAATTCAAGCAAACACAACCAACATATATATAATTGAAAAAGTTACATCATTGTATGAATTACATGTTTACGAATCAATTACAATATGTTGACAAAATATGAAATAGTAGACGCCTTAGCGTCCCATCCTCAAAAGCACTTGGTTACCTGTTTAATGATTTCCTGAGAATACAAGTTGTTTGAAAAAGTGTCAACACAAAGGTTGGTGAGTTCATAAGCTTTTGTTTGGTATTATTAAAAGCCTTTCGTTTGTAAAAGTAGTATTTGTTTTAGAAAAATCCAATATTTTCCTTAAAATGTGTATGTAGTCTTAAATCCAAAGACCGAAATGTATAAGTAACTTTTCTTACTTATAATAAATAATGTAAGTTTAAATCGACGTAATGAAGTTCCCGTAAATTCCAATATTCATTAATACTTTATGTGAGTTTATTAAAGCCTTTTCTTGTAAAAGTAGTGTTCGTTCCAGAAAATCCAATATTTTCCTTAATGTGTAAATGTAGTCTTAAAACCCAAAGACCGAAATGTACAAGTAGTGTTCGTTCCTTATAGTAAAACAATGCAAGTTTAAATCGACATAAACTCGTTTGATTTTAGTGAAATCCCCGTAAATTCTATGTTTGTTAATACCACATGTGAGTTATTATAACCATGCTATGACCTAGTTGGCCTGAAACGACGTTCTTCAGGCGTCGGAAATGTTATGACATTTGTCACCCCAGACCTATCGGTCTAACTGTTGCATGCAGTTTAGGTGTGGGTTTGTCAAACCCAATATAGATCTATACACAACTATCACGCTCTCCCTCAAGGAGACTCTGGTTACAATACAGGACTTAATGGTAATTTGAAGTAAATGTCTCACAAAGTCATTAAC